GCCGCCTGAGGAAGAAGAGGCATTGTTGTGTCTTCTTGACTGTCGCATCTACGTGGGAAGGCCAAGACAGGTTGTTGGTTATTGTCACTCTGAGGAACTTGATGCTCCCCACCCTCTCAACCTTAGTTCCACTGATGTAGATTCTAAGTCAATGATCAGTTCTTTAGTTCTGCCAATGTTGAGAGAGAGGTTGCTTTCGTTGCATCATGTCAGCAAGCCCTCTATCTCCCTTCTGTAGTTTGACTCGTCATTGTTAGATATCCGTCCCACTACGGTGGTGTTGCAGCAAACTTGTTGATGGTGTTTGGTCATAATTTGGTAACATAGTTGTGGGTGTACAGGAAATACAGTAGGGGGCTGAGGACGCATCCTTGGGTGGAGGGGGGGGTGGTGCTCTAGTATTGAGTGTTATTATGAAGGAAGTGCAGTCACCTATCCTCACTGATTGCAGTCTGTGGGTTAAAAAGCTGAGAATCCAGTTGCAGACGGCAGAGCCAAGACCAAGGTCATGGAGTTTTGAGATCAGATAATGGTGTTGAAGGCAGAGCTGTAGACAATGAGCAGGAGTCTGATGTAGGTGTCTTTGTTATCCAGATGTTCCAGGAATGGGTGCAGGGCTAAGGATATGGTATCCGCTGTCAACCTGTTATGTTGGTAGGCAAATTGTAAACTGTAAACATGGGGAAAGAGCTAAATTTTAAAGAGGGAAAAAGAGATGGAGAAGAGAAATGTTTATGGAAGGAATGCTAGAGCTTATAAACACAGTGACTGCCATGGTGGACCAATTAAATCTGCGATGTGCACTATGCTAGAAATGGAGAAAGCAAATATGTTTGAAAATTGTAGAAGTGATGGAAGGTTAGAAAAAGAGAGTGAGAACGGTGATAGGTGACAAGCAAGAGAATACTAAAAGTTGGACCTTTGACCAATTGGAAGATAATGTAAGTCATGTGACTATAGATCTCAATTTCCCTGCCTCCACCCCTTCTTCCTGCTTGAAGTCACGGTTATCTGCCAGCTACCCTTCCCTCTTCCCACTCTGCTCTATTAATTGCTTGCAATCTGGCTTGCTTGGTGGAAATGCTCCTTCTGGTTGATTCCCATTTTCAAACTCTTTTAAGATCAACTCGTAATATAACAAAAATTACACCTGCGTGCACAATGTATGAATTGTTCCCATCATGTTATGTATAACTGCAATCATATCCACTTCCATTGGTCGAGCTATATGTTCTCCAAGCTCCTGAGTTGAGAAACTCCACTGCTAAAACCAACTGAACTTCTATGCTTCAATTTAATTATAAATATAAAATCAAAGTGCATCAAAATAATGACAGAATGAGACTTTAAAATGAAGACAGTACAATACCTGTGCATTCTGACCCAAGAGTCCGAAGCACTCTATATTCTTTTTTGCAAGATGTGGTTACATTTACTGTCTATCCTTGGTTGCCTGAGAAGGTAATTTAAGAAAGTAGTGCTGTGATGTTTTCTTGAATCACTGCATGATGGTGTTTCCAAACTGAAGCTGAGTAGGAAATTCCATGACCAATGATGAAGGAAAAGTGATACATGTGAGAGTCAGCATGGGTGTAACTTGTGGGTAGGTTGTGGTGAAGATGTCATTGCCACATTGCTGATCTTGCCCTTCTTATTAGTAGAGGGTAAAGGTGAGAGAGAACCTGTAGGCCCTTATGAATTCCTGTAGTGCATTCTGTTGGTCATATATATTGCAAACACAGTGCTTTAGTGGTGGAGATGATTACTGAGCTTAATAGTTGAGGCATTGTCAAATGAACCACTCTGGATACTGTTGAACTTCTTGGGTTGTTGCCATTGCAAACATTCATATATGTGGTGAGTATTCTATTACTTTATTGGTCAGTGCATTGAGTGTAGGAATTCAGAGGTCATGTTATGGCTGTACAGGACTTTGCTTAGGCCACAATTGGAATACTGCATGCAATTCTGGTCTCCCTGCTGTAGGAAGGATGTTGAGAAACTTGAAAGGGTTCAGAAAAGATTTATAAGCATGTTGCCAGGGTTGGAGGGTTTGAGCTGTAGGGAGAGGCTGAGGCTATTTTTCCTCAAGCATTGGAGGCTGAGGGATGACCTTATAGAGGTTTATAAAATCATGAGGGGCATGGATAGGGTAAAGAGACAAGGTCTTTTTCCCAGGGTGGGGAGTTCAAAACTAGAGGGGCATAGGTTTAAGGTGAGAGGGGAAAGATTTAAAAGGGACCTAAGGGGCAACTTTTTCACACAAGTGGTGGTGCGTATATGGAATCAGCTGCTAGAGGAAGTGTTGGAGGCTGGTAAAATTACAACATTTAAAAGGTATTTGGAAGGGTATATTAATAGGAAGGGTTTAGAGGGATATGGGCCAAAAGATGGCAAATGGGACTAGATTTAGTTAGGATATTTGGTTGGCATGGATGAGTTGGACTGAAGGGTCTGTTTCCGTGCTGTATATCTCAATGACTCTACGAATCTTTAGAATGGAACAGGAGGTGAGCTGCAAATGACCAGCACTACTCTTGGAGCCATGGTATTGATTTGGCTAACCTATTGCAACTTCTTGATGTTGTAAGCTCAGCAAACGTGATGTCAAAGGTCTTCCCTTTCCGGAAGCAGTCATTACTTCTTTTATTCAGTTTTGTACAGATATGGGTGTTGCTGGCAAAGCTGGTATTTGTTACCTGTTTGGCTCTCTAGGCCACTTCAGAGGACAGTTAAGAGGTATCCATTTTGGTTGAAAGTCTGAAGTCACAGAACTGTAGGCAAGATATAATTCCCTAAAGAACAGTACTAAACCAGAAGGGTTTTACGACAACTGACGATAGTTACGTTGGTCGCAATTTTAATTCCAGATATTACTGAATTCAAATTTCACCATATGCAAACCCATGTCCCAGAATGTTAATCTGGGTCTCTATAGTCCAGTGACATTTCCGCTACACCACCACCTCCACTTAAAAGCATGACCATGATCAGTTGCTTGACAGCCCAAAGTTGAATTCTGTTGAGGGCCCGAGGTAGGCTGCTATGTGCTCCTTCGTTATCAGAGAAATAATGAATGGAGCAAAACATTATTCTACTGTAACACTTCAACCTTTCTTCCAACAGTTTTGTACTATCCATAAATTGTGGGGCATTTGCTTAAAAATATATGAAATATATCCTTCATAGCTTCATGATACACCAGGTTAGATCGGTGACAAGTTATGATTTTCACTCAAGAGATTAATCAAAAGCAATAAAAAATGTTCCAGCAACTGATAAACCTATTGACATTTACTATCAAATTTTATTCCTGAACCCTGACTTAAAGAAGAGGATATGTTAGCCATTTTCCTATCCCGTAAGACATTTCCCAAATTTAGTAAACACTAAGATGGGTGGATATTGAAAAACATAAAATGGGGCCAGGTTTTCAATTTGTTTGATTACAAACCAAAAGAACTGCGGATGCTGTAAATCAGGAACAAAAGCAAAGTTGCAGGAAAAGCTCAGCAGGTCTGGCAGCATCCGTGAAGGAGAAAACAGAGTTAACGTTTCAGGTCTGGTGACCCTTCCTCAGAAGGGTGACCCTCCCTCTGAGGAAGGGTCACCAGACCCAAAACGTTAACACAATTTTTTTATAGCTCTGAGGAACTCTAATAGCAGCTGGGATGTCTTGTTGCAGCTCTGCAAGAGACATTGGTAAGGCCACATTTGGAAAAGATTTGAGGATGCTACCTGGACTGGAAGATGTGTGTTACATGGAGAGGCTGGATAGGCTGGGAC